AGGCAGAAACAGGAAACAGAGGTTAAGGAACTTGCAGGAGGTCACAAAGCAAAGACAGGAATCAAACTATGCAGTCTTGCTCTGGAGTCTGTGCATCAAACCCCCACGTCACTGCCTCTCAGTCTAAAAGCTGGTAGGCAAAATAAAGAGGCAGAGGTCATCTTAGAGACATTTCTGGGTGGTGGTACTCAGTGGTGTGCCAGGGAGATATGGACCCAACTCAAAGGAAAGGCTGGACACCAACATGAGTGCAAAGTCAGGCTATGCATGGGTAGGTTGGGAGGAAGCACGAGGTGAAGCCATCAGGACCCAGGCAGCTCCTACCACCCTCCCAAAGACAAGGAGGAAGGGAAGGCAAAGCCTGCCCTGGCGGAAAGGTTACACTGCTCTTTCCCTGAGACCAGAGACAATGTTGGACTTACTCAGGGGCCTTACTCTGGTGGCCAGAGTTTATCCTGAAGGGACAAAGGCCACCACCCCGCAGCAACATTCCCTTTCCGTCAGACTTGACAGCTAGAAAGTCCAGGCAGTAACAGAGCAAACACTTTTCCTAGTCCAATCCATTTCAAAGGAGGCAGCTTTGCTTGATGAAGACAGTGTACTCCAAGGCCATTCCAGCACTCAAAGGGATGACTGGGGCCTAGAGGAAGGGTGCTAGGAACAAATCAGAGAGATGGAGAGTGCCAGCAGAGATCTCTCAGCAGTGCTTTTGGGTAATGGCACTGGCCAGTCCAGCATCCTGGCTTTTTTTGTTTCAAGAACCAGGTAGCATCATTATATTCTTATTAAACAAGCATTAGGAAAGCTATCGTTTTCCTTGGCTTATATCTGGCATTCTAGGTGGAATGGCTATGCCCCAAGAGTCCACACTGAACAGAAAACTGGGGAGAGAGATGACTAGGAAAGGCACTTTGGAATTTATTTAACTTGCCTTAAAAAAAAAAAAGCGTTTTCCAGAAAGGGAAAAGAGGCATATGAGAATAAAGACTAAATGTAAAAGACATAAAACTTTGAGAGGTGATGAGGACTTGGAAGCAATAAACAAGAAAACAAACAAAAAGCTAAAAACATAGGCATAGCTAGGAGGAAGGGAAATGGAAGTCAGTGTGCTAATATGTATATATTAATTAATACAAGGTGAGTCCATAAACGTGCTGACCCTTGATGTAGACGTAAAGCGCTCCACTTCCAGAACCTGGGCTTTTATTGGGTAGCCAGAGAGGTACGTCTGTATATTAGGCTCCTTAAATCCTTGAGTCTTATAAATAGCAGAGAAAGGGATGTACACTAAAAAATAAATAAGTAAATAAAGTTATTGCAAGAATACAACGACATTGCAAGAATACATGATATTAGCATAACTTGCCTTTTCCAGGCATCTTTTTGAAGAATCACAACGTGCGACAAGAAAACAGTTAATGAAACAGTCTCAACCCAATGTTATGACATCAGCAAGGAAAATCAATCATTTGCTGGTTATTTCAAATAAGAGCTCTGCCAAGCAACCCTGATAAGCTCCTCCCCTCGCTCAGACCATCAGTTTTACCTTCCTGTAGCTTGAGGTCGTTGGGAGATACATCGCCATCCATCTCCTCTCCCTCAAAGTGGAGCTCCCGCGTGTCCAGGTTTTCTATCAAATTACTCATGTCGGCAGCGATTTTCTGCAGTGCAGAGGTATTTACGCTTGGCTCATTTTTCAGCGACATGTTGGCTTTGGACAGCGTCAAAGCTAAAGGGCTAAGAAAGAAGAAACGGGTGAATATTTTGGTCAAATAAAACCCTATTCCACAATTTGAATCCAGGCTTACATACAACATATGGAAGCAAGTCCACTAGCTATCTGTGAGCCCAGTTATCTCAAACAACTTCTCAATCTATTTTATTGTTTAACTTTTTTTTTTTAGCTGAGCCATCCTGCCACCTGTTGGCAGCTGTTGGCAGCTCAGCTTGGGCCAGGAATCGAACCGATGACCCTGTTGCTCAGCGCTCATACTCTTTTTTTTTTTTTTAAGATTTTTATTGGGGAATTGGGGGGATGGGAACAGTGCTGGGGAATTGGGGAAAGGGGAACAGACAAGTTGCNACAATATTGCCACAGGGATATGAAAGACAGTTCAGGGAATATAACTAATAATGTAAATATTTTGTAGGGTATCAGATGGTCACATGTCTTGTTAGGGAGACCACTTCATGGATGGGGTAGAGGCTTGATCACTGCACCGTACACCTGAAGCTGATGTTGTGTAATATTATATGTCAACTATAATTGACTATATATATATATAGTCACAGGACATGGAGTATAGTGTGGGAGTGGAGTCAAGGGAATTGTATCAGATATGCATGATACGGCAGGGGGTAGAGTGGAGCAGCAGATTGGGGGAGAGGGGTTGTCACTTTGAAGGGTAAAAAGTATAACTATTGCACTGTGTTGTACAGCTGAAACTAATTTTAAGAAAATGTTTATTTCACAATAAAAAATTAATAAATTACTGAAAAAAAACACAAATGGAAAATTATTGTACAATGGTATTAGTACATATTTAAATACAGTAAAACCTTGGACTGTGAGTAACTTGGTTTGCGAGTGTTCCGCGAGATGAGCAAACATTTCTAATAGACTTTAACACAGTAAACAAGTGATGTCTTGCAATACGAGTAGTTTGTTTCCAGAATGAATTATGCTCGCAAACCAAGGTATTACTGTAATTCCTTACTAAAGAAAACAGATTTCAGAGAACACAGCAGGAAGCCTTTTTAGTAACAAGAGCAGTGATATCCTTATTTGTTACATTCTTTCAAAGTTGCACATTCCTGAGTCCTAGGAGGGAAGAAATCCTTCCTATCATCCTTTTCTTGAGATCCCCTGGTTGGAACCAAATTTCTGTTTTCCCTGGAAAAACTCTTCTCCAGGATTATGAAACCATAGAAGCTGCTGCAGTAGGCAGGCCATGGTCAGTCTGGGGCATTTGTGCATAAAGGGTGGACGTCCAGCTGGGTGCATGCCCCAGCCGCCAAAGAATACACTGGCAGGCAGCAAGAAGGCCATGAGTCACCAAAATACTCCAAAGAGTCATGGCACTCTTACTCCCTCTCCGAAATACATAGAGGGCGCCCCTCGGTTTACTGTATATGTGATACCACTCTCTAAACTAGAGACCACTTCATAACTGCGCCTACTCTTAAGTTCTACAGACACCACATACATACCTGCAACCCACAACAATACATTCATACAAACACAGACACAAAATAACCCAGTGCATTCTCAGTTATCTGGACCTTTAGATAATTGAGGGCTAACCTTTTCAAAACACCGCGCTTTCCAGGGCCTCTAAGCCAGCAGGGCTCATTGTTTTCTGATAACTCTCTGCAAAGGCCGCTCCGTCCTGCTTGCTGCGGTGTGCCTCCCAGCTGCTTCTAAGCCCCACCACCTCACATTTCCCAAGAGTTTCTTCTCTCCCTGGCTTTTCCCATGCTTCTCACTTTCACATGAAAAGACAGGCCTTTTATAAGCATCACAAGCCTATCAGGTGGCAATCGCAGTCTGCTCTGTACGACCTTTGGGTATTCAACTCTGCTCAACTGTTTTCATCACTTCCTACTGAATGGTTTCTCTTCAGGGTTTGAAAAGCTTTGGACATTATTCTGGAAGACTGAGAAGAAAAGGAAGTTGATTTCTAGATATCTAGCCTATAGCAAGATTTCAAGTTCACTTAAATCTATTGTTACAGGCATACTAAGTTATATTTGACATTTTTAAAATACCATCAACATAATGTAGATCCTTGCTGTCAAACAATTTTTTGTATTCATTTTATTTATTTTAATGCAAGGAATAATGCTGAAGTGGATACAAGCACTTGTGTTAATAAAATGACCCAAAATTTAGCTGACAATTTATGATTTTGTAAATTACTTCAAAATTTAAATAAGTAACTAGTACTTACTGTTGCATGATAGTTTCTATACATGGGCATTTTCAGTAACTTTGTCAAGTAATCTTCCAGTTGTTTCTGTAATGCAAATATTTTAGGTAAGAGATATTATCACACTTATAGAAAAATTTAAACTGCTAGTGACAATAATGTGATCATTGGTCCATCTTACCTTCTATAAGTTACTCAGTGATTTATTAATATTATCCTTGGACAAGGAATCCTGAATAGCATTAAGGAGTTATTTCCACAGTTCCCTTAAACCACTGTTTAAATCTCTTGATGCTATTTAATTTTCACAATCTCTTGCTGCTATTTAATTTTTACATGCTTAGGTCTTTTATAAACTGCTGACAGGGCCCCAACTACATATTCTTTTCATTTTATATAGTTACTAGCACAGGACTTCCTCAAAGGTGGTTTTAAAGCATTTGTTAATTTTATCAAAAACCTGAATTTCCTCAATTCTAACACTGAATTTACTGGAAGATATACTGCAATTTTTTAAACAGATTTTCAGGGGAAAAAAATCGGGAGGTTAAATAAAAAGAGACTTTCTAGTAAGTTGTCCCTGATTTCGAATATGTTAAAATGGGGGGGGGGAGGGAATGTCAACTATATTGACTGTGATACACGCTAAACCACTAATTGTTAAAGCTGCAGTTTATCATTTTCAACTGTACTTATATACATACACACAGTCACCCAAAACTGTATAATTTTATTTGTTTAGGTGTCTTGGAAACTTTGTATTTCAGATCCCTAAAAAGATTTTAAACAAGATGGCAACTACAAAGGAGAAATCAAGCATCCCTCTCAGAACATAAAAGTTCTGAAATATGACAAAATATATATATATTTTTTTTTGGTTAGCTGAGCCATCCTGCCACCTGTTGTCAGCTCAGTGGCAGCTCTGCTCGGGCCGGGAATTGAACCGCTGTTGCTCAGAGCTTGCACTCTTGAGCGAGCTCTTAACCAACTGAGCCACTTGCCTGGCCCTGACAAAATATTTTTTGAACTGACATTTACTTGTCAATTTTTTAGTAAAAAAAAAAAAAATCATCTTCTGTGCTACATGGCACTGTATCACTGAAGCAGAGCAGGTGGCAGTGTCCCTCCTCCAGAGATTTCTTACTGTCATACAGGTCTATAGCTCTGTCCTACTCTTCTCAGACCCCAACTGCTCTATCTATAGTTGGGGAATGAGATTTCACATATATTTAGGGCAAGCTACAGAAAATTCTGAAGCAAATGTATGGAAATAAATGATTTTAAAAGAGTAGATTTCGAAACCCTCATTGTGAGCTCAATCTTGACTCACAAGTAGCCCAAAGAGATTTCTGCTGGTAGGACAGCTCCTTCATCAAATCACTCTTCATGAAGACACTCTTTCTCTCCTGGAAAAATGCAACCTCCCCAGGGTCACAATGGCCTAGGGAAGAAGCGGCTGCCTATCTAATTCCAGAGAAGCTAAACCAGCCTAGGTGATGGATCAGTGGGTGAGAGAACTTGCAGCCAGGCCCACCTCACCCCTCAGTAGACACCATCTTTCTCTAGTGCCACAAAATTATGTTCAGACCAATAGTGAAAGACTTACCCTTCTACCAAGGGATTGCTCTTCTCTGACCAGGTTTTCAGAGGAACGGGGCAAGCTTGGCATCTCTCGAGGCTCTTCTTTGACATTCTGTCTTCTAAATGTGTGTCTAAAACATGCACACATGCACGCGCGCACACAAACACACACACACACACACACACACACACAATGCAAACATTAGAATATTCTTTGAGCCATGACTCTCTTAATATCTTTCATGATATGGCTTATTGTTAGAAGAGCCTATTTAATAGAAAATGTCCACCAACAATGGACTAGTTAAGCCACGATATGAATAAAATACTCTTTCCACCTAACTTGGAGACTGGGATAACTTTGTAATTAATTCTGAAACAGTTACCTTTTGGTAGGAAGGGGGATTCGAATAAAGGCTTTGTATGTGAGGAGCTCTCTGTGAAATTCTTGAAAGTGCTTGAATTTCCTTTTAACTTGCCATTTAAATTCCCCATGTGTTAATTCAATAGTGTAAAGATTGATACTTCGAACCTACAGTGATAAATAAAAATAGTTGGCATTTTAAATAACAACAAAGATCCCAAAATCTCTCAATGAACAATAGCTAAGTAATAAACAACATGAACTTACCCTTAAATCTGGCCTACTTATTTTGTGAAAGTACTTAAATAAAATGTTTTCAAAAACAACTGATTACAGAATAATACTCTCTTAAATGTTCACCTTATAAGATACATAAGAGAAACTCAGAATCACAACAAATGTAGATGCCTGACCACTGCACTGTACACCTGAAGCTGAAGCGGAATAATATTGAATGTCAACTATAATTTAATATATATATATATATATATATATATATAGTCATGGAATATGGAGTATAGCATAGGGAATAGGGTCAATGAAATTATAATAGATAATATATACGATGTCAGAGGGG